ATAGCTTTGTCTATCCGCGGCGCCTGCCCCGCATTTCTTCGCACCCCACTTGGCGCGTGTCTCATTATACGGTAACGAGGCAGCCACAGAACGCTCGCCCCAACGTGGTCGAGCCGTGGTGATGTGGTCCACGTGACCGCAATGCGTAGTAGTAGTAGTAGTAGTAGTAGTAGTAGTAGTAGTAGTAGTAGTAGTAGTAGTAGTAGTAGTAGTAGTAGTAGTAGTAGTAGTAGTAGTAGTAGTAGTAGTAGTAGTAGTAGTAGTAGTAGTAACAGTAGTAGTAGTGGTGTGGGAGGGTGGTGGTAGTAGTAGTGTAGTAGTAGTAGTAGTAGTAGTAGTAGTAGTAGTAGTCGTAGTAGTAGTCGTAGTAGTAGTAGCAGTAGTGTAGTAGTAGTAGTAGTGTAGTAGTGTAGTAGTAGTGTAGTAGTGGTAGTGGTAGTGGTAGTGGTAGTGGTAGTGTAGTGGTAGTGGTAGTGGTAGTGGTAGTGGTAGTGGTAGTGGTAGTAGTAGTAGTAGTAGTAGTAGTAGTAGTAGTAGTAGTAGTAGTAGTAGTAGTAGTCAAAACCAATTTCCCTAGCCAGCCCAACCAGCCAGCCCAACCAACCAGCCACCCAAACAACTCAACCGGCTCAACCAGCCCAACCAGCCACCCCGCAACCCCAGCCAACCCGCCACCCCGCCAACCCGCCCACACCCGCCGCCTGCCCTCTGTCACCGTCGAGAGGGGGGGGGAAACGTTTCTTACAAGCGGAAACCACAAAAATCACCCTCCCGGGGTACGGCGGGACAGCGGGGGAAAAGGAAATTGCACCGTACCATGGGGGACGGGGATTCGCGCCCGAGGTGCCCAAGGACGATGTGGGGCCTCAAGTGCGACACTGTCGTCACTATATTACCTTTCACCGCGCTCCCCTTCTCAACGGAAAGGCTCCCATCCGTGAAACTGTCGTCATTTTTCAGCCCCCGCGAGAGGCTTCTTAGAGGCCCCCAGAGGCTCCAGGAGGGCCCATGGCGGCCTCGGGAGTGCCTAGGAGATCTCCGGAGGGCCCCAGGAGGACCCACTCTGCACCGCACCCCCCTTCTCAACGAAAAGGCCCCCATGCGTGAAATTGTTTTCATCATTCCGCCCCCGCGAGAGAGTTCTTAGAGGGCCCACGGAGGCTCCAGGAGGGCCCATGGCGGCCCCGGGAGAGCCCACGAGATCTCAAGAGCCCCCCGGAGGACCCACTTTGAATTACACTCAGGGAGCTCCAGAGGGCCCAGGAGGCTCCAAGAGGCCCCAAGAGGCCACGAAAAGCCCAAACAGGCCACAGGACCCCCAGCACGCTCTAGGAGAGCCAAGGCGACACCAAGAGGCTCCAGGACGGGCGTCATTTCCTCTCCTCCTCCTGCTCGTCGTCGTCATCCTCCTCCTCATCCGTCCTGCTTCAAATCCTTCCTCCCCCTCTTCCCCCTCCTTCTCCTCCTCTTCCTCCTCCTCCTCCTCCGCCTCCGCTTCTTCCTCCTCCTCCCTCTCCTGGTTCTCCTCTTACCTCATCCGTAGCCTCGATGGCTCCGATAGCGCCGTGCGCGAGATGAGCCTCCTCCCCATCCGTCCTCCTTCCCTTCTCCCTCCTCCCTCCTCCCCTCTCTCGGGAGCGTCACAAAGAGGCCCTCCGAGGATCATCTCACGACAACAAGGGCGCTGGCACGATGAACAGACACCACGTCGGGGCCCTGGGAACGGAGTCGAAGACGAAACCTCGGATAACTTAGTCTTCGATGTTCGGGGCATTTTTCTGACCACCTGCGAGCCTTGTGGAAACTTCCGAGAGCCTCAGAAGTGGACGTCTGGCCCGCCTTCCCGACCTGCCCGTTAGGGACTAACACACCTGATGGGCCCGTCTGGTTCAGCCACGTGATTTCTGCTCCTAGCCCCCCTCATGCTCATCCCGTGCTCGATGCTTCTCCCTCCCCCTTCCACCAGTTTTTTTCCTTGTTCCAGGGGCTGCGCCAGCTACGCGCGGCAGGTAAACAAAAATACCCCCGGGGGGCACGACCAAAGACGAAGAGAGCGGGCACCGAGGGTTTGAGACATGCGTGGGGAATGGCACGCGAACAGGTCAGATCGAACAGTAATACAATGATTGCTGGTGTAGTTGCGGTTGATGCTGTTGCTGTTGATGGTGGTGTTGTTGTTGTTGATCTTCTTGTTGTGAGTAATGTTGCTGTCATTGCTGTTGCTCCTGAGTTCTAGTTTCGAACGAATGAATGTGGTTCATCTCCCCTCCACGATGACCATTGTAGTTGTTCACTTAAAGTGCTTCTCTGGGGGCTCGCACTCTGGTTTTAACTTGGGAGCGTGAGGTGTCACCAAACTGCGCCCCTGGCTCCCGGTGTACAACAACAGTGGCTCCCGCCGGATATGTCCTCACAAATATTTCCCAAATCGCGCTCTCGCGCAGAACGTCCTCACAATATATGCAGTAATCGCGCTCCCGCGAGGGACTCCCTTGCAATTAATTCAATCGCCGCGCCCTCCACACTCCTGCATCACGCTTTCGCTGTGGATGTCCTCACGATTTCTTCGGGAATCGCGCTATCGATCGAGACTTCCTCGCGATTGACCTGGCCGCCTGGGACCGCCTTCCCGATCCGCCTGTTAGGGTCTACCCGCCCGATCTGCCCGTCCGGCTCTGCCACGACGTGTTTTCTGTTCCCAGCCTCCTCCTGCTACTCGCTCTCTCTCGTGCTACATCCTCCTCTCTCCACATTGTCCCTTCCTTCCATCCGTCCTCTCTTCCCCTGCCTTAGAGGCTGCACGGAATACACGTTGCTTGTAAGAAATACGTAGCACCCCGCAGTTGCGGATAAGAGTGAGGGGGCGGCGGGGACGTCTGCAGTCTGCGAGGCTCTGGAGCCCGCCGCAGGCGCAAAACCTTTCAAGATATACAACGAGCCCGCCGCAGGCGCCGATTTTTTTTGTATTTTTGGTTACAATGAGGGTTGGTCGCGGGTTGGGTCGCAGGTGGGTCAGGGGTGGGTCGATGGTGTGTCGCAGGTACGTCGTGGGGTGGGTCGCGTGTGGGTCGCGGGGTGGGTCGCGGGTGGGTCGCGGGTGGGTCGCGGGGTGGGTCGCGGGTGGGTCGCGGGGCAGGTCGCGGGTGGGACGACGACAACAACAAACAACAAACAACAACAAAAATCCGCATCGCGGAATTTCACTCCAGCCACGCACCCAGGGACAGTGAATGACCGTTCGGTTCAGTCCTCTCCCTCTGACACTGAACGTGGTTTGGGTCGCGGGTGGGCCGCGGCTTTTCCATCGGGAACGAATGCAAAAAATGCCCGCCGCAGGCGCCGACAAAATTGGTTTGTACCCTGAACGTGGTCGCGGGTGGGCCGCTGGCTCTCCACCTGGAACGAATGCAAAAGATGCCAGCCGCAGGCGCCGAAAAATATGGTTTGTACCCTGAACGTGGATTGGGTCGCGGGTTGGTCGCGAGTTGGTCGCGGGGTGTGTCGCGGGCTCTCCACGTGGACGGGATGCAAAAAAACCCGCCGCAGGCGCCGAAAATGTTGGTGTGTACCTTGAACGTGGTTTGGGTCGCGGGGTGGGTCGCGGGGCGGGTCGCGGGGTGGGTCGCGGGTGGGTCGCGGGTGGGTCGCGGGTGGGTCGCGGGCGCGGGGCGGGTCGCGGGGTGGGTCGCGGGTGGGTCGCGGGTGGGTTGTTGTTGGTGGTGGTGTTGTTGTTGCTGTTGCTGGTGTTGTTGCATTGTTGCGTGATTGTGTTGTGTGTGTGTTGTTTCTTGTGTGTTGGTTGTTCGTTGTTATTTATTGTCGTCGTCCCACCCGCGACCCGGCCAGCGACACACCTGCGACCCACCCAGCACCCACCCGCGACCCACATACGACCTGGCCCGCGACCCGCTCGGGACCCGCCACCCATCCATCGATCAGCCAATCAATCGATTAATCCATCTACCGGTAACACATCCATTGGTCAATCCCTCTACCGATCAGCGCCTCGATCGATCGATTCCCCAGCGATCTCCGCCGCGGGGGGCGGGGCTGGAATGGAGGCCTGCAAGGGAAAGGCCACGACCTGAGGCACCGTCGAGCAAGAGGCGGTGCGGACCTGGGGAGGGAGGAGATGGAGGTGGAGGAGGAGGAGGCGGATGAGGCGGAGGAGGGAGACATTCCTGGACATTCCCCTGACGACAAAGTCGAGAGTCGCCGCGCCGCCGCCCGCCCACCTCAGGGCGTCTTCGAGGCGGCGGCGACGGCATCGGCGGCCCGCGGGCGGCCTGGCCCCGCGCCTGGGGGCGCGTCGGGCCGCGCCTGCGGCGCCCGCTGTGCCCGCCCGCAACAGGGCCCTCCTCCTCTATCGGGCGAGGCGTGTCTCCCGCGCAGCGGCCCCTGGGCCAGCCGCCCTCCTGCGGGCGCTCCTGGCGGGGCTGGCCTCCGCGTGGGTCTCCTCGCTCCCATTGGTGGCTGGGGCGGCGGTGTGGGCCCCGCCAGGAGCTGCCTCAGCGTCGCCAGCGGCAGCACCTTGGGCCTGGGCGGGCTGCATTCCCTGGCCGTCATGGCTGGGCTGGACCTCGCTCTCTCCCTGGCGGCCTCCAGCGGCTTCCTCACTTATCCTCTGGCTGTCGTCTGGCTCGACCTGCTTGAGCTTCAGGATTGTCTCCTTCGGCTGGCACTGTCTGGTCCTTGCTCTCGGCGCAGCCGCCACCTCCAGCAGCCGCGTCGCCCTCACCTCTGCATCCTGCTCGCTCATCTTGGGCTTGGGCGGCCTTTGGCGGGGAGCGTGTGTCGGCAGCTGCAGCCTCCTGGCTTCTGGCAGCTCGCCGCTCTGCTTCACTCCGCCCCTGGCGGGGTCTGCCGTGCCTGCCCTGCGCGTCCGCCTGCTCCAGCGTGCGTCTCCCAGCGCGGGGTCGCCCCTCCCATTATCCCTCCTGGATGGGGCCTCTGGGCACTCCTGGTCCCAGGGGTGGGAGGGGGTCAGCGTGCGGGGGGGCCTGGTCGCTGTCGAGCACCGCGGCGTGGCCGCCATTCTCGATCACTCCAGCAGCCACCTCTCGGATTCTCTTCAGGTCATCCTCGATGCTGCTGCCCTCTGGCTCGGGCGAGGTCCCCCGACTATGTCGCTCGCTGTGTTCGCGGTTCACGTGGCATCCGCGGGCCAAGCCCTCCCCCTCGGGTTCAGTCTGTCGGTTTCCCAGAGTGTGGGTCCGCTCTGTTAGTTGCGAGGTCCTGTCTACCACAATGTTGGTCACGAAGCCCGCGCCATGCTCACTGGGCTCGTCAGGGACCTCCGCCTCGAGGCCTTCTGTTGATTGCGGCAGCTGATCCTCTTCGATGTGATCTTCACGATCAGCGAAGGGGTCCGCGACCGTTTCTGACCATCCTGGTCTCTCTCGAATCTCATCCTGCTTGTCTGGCCACATCCTCCACTCCTCTGCGTCTGCAAGCTTGGTCCAGCTCTTCAGCAGGTACCTCCTCGACTCGCAGGTGGGGCGGAGGCGGCAGGGTGCCTGCAGCTTGTCCGAGACCATCTCCGTGGCGGAGCCCGCACAGAGCGTGCAGAACCAGCGCCTCTGGCGGCCCAGCCATCGCAGGGGGTGCGATGGGTGCGAAGTGTGGCCGTTGAACTCAATGCACCTGCCTGCCGCTGGGGGCGGGCCTCCGCACTTCTGCTCGAACCACTCCTTGATGCTGGATAGGGCCGTCGCCGTCGTGACCGACTGGTTGCAGCACTTGCACCTCCACCCTCGTCCTCGTCTGATCTGAGCTTCACGAGGTCGTGCGTGGTGGCTGGCCGTCTGCGGGGGTCTCGCGCGAGGTAGTCTGCCTTGACCTTCCTCTGCGCTCTCCTCTGCATGACCGCGTGCCTCCTCGCCAGCTTCAGCTCCTTGTTCTCCGTCGGCCTCCGCTCCATGGCGTCTTGGGTGCAGGCCGCAATGCGCGCCCTGACCAGGCTCGCCGCCGCCCGCGCCCATTCGTAGCAGCCCATCTGGTTCTCAGGGATGGCGTGCTGCTTGGCTCCTGCATCGGCCAGTCTGTCTGCCTCTCGATTGCCTCCCCAAGCCTCTCTCGGGATGTGTTTCTCCATCGCCTCCGTCTCCGTCAGGTGGCTGTTCAGGTGGCACAATGTGATGATCTCCCTGCCACCTCCTCTCTCGGCGATGGCCCTCCGCACGCGGCGCCAGAGGTCGCAGTTGGCTGCCCCTTCTGGTCTCTCCTCGCGGCGTGCGTGCCAGCCGACGAGGGTGATCTCGCTGTCCGTCCAGAAGGTCAGGTCTCCGCACGTCGACTCCAGGCAGTTGATGAGCGACCACAGCTCCGCCCTGTTGTTGGACTGGCGCGCGCCTGGCAGCGGTCCGAACTTCGCGGCCCAGGTCGGGAAATCTCTGGGGCGCCCTCTGGTGTCCAGCATCACCCAACTCCATCCGCATCGCCTGTACCTCACGTCGCTGCTGTACTCGCCGCCTGAGCCGTCCCCGCAGATGGTGAGCTGCCCACCCTCTGGGGCTTGAAGTCTGCCTCCCTGTAGACACTGCCCCAGCAGCGTCTCCTGCTCCTCCGTGCTGCACGGGGGTGGCACCGTCCAGGCCTCCGGCGTGAGCCCTCTGAGCCAGAAAGCTGGGGCTCCCGCCGCACCTGCTTCGGCTCTCGCGACGAGTCCTGCCGTCTTCTCGACCACCTCCGAGGGCTTCCTCGCAGAGCATTCTCCCCAGATGCGGTGGAAGTCGTCCTCGAGCTGCCCGCGCTCGCAGGCTTCGTCGCCCGAGTTGAACTCCTGGCGCTTCCTGGCCTGCGTCCATGTGCCTGCGCACGCTGCCGCAAGCAGCGCCCCGTAGGTCTGGTGCTTGCCGCGCTTCCTGAGGGACTCCAGGTGCTTGATCATGTCCGTGCAGTCCACTCCGTGCTCCATGCCAGCGCCGTTGTGGTGCGCTGCTGCCTGACTCCACAGCTGCTTCCTCACGCTGTCCAAGAGCGCCTCGAGCATCGCCTCTGGGTCTCCGTCCTCCTCGTCCTCTGGGAATCGCCATCTGTAGCCGTCCTCGTCGATCCAGATGTCTGGCTCCCTCGAGTCCCAGCCTAGCTCCCAGAGTAGCAGGATGATGCCTCCCATCGCTCCTCGTCTCTGCTGCCGGCGCCGCCTCGGGTCCGTCCGCAGGAGCCTGAAGTATACCCTGGGCCAGGCCTTGCGCGCCTGCTCCCGCAGGTCCTGGCTCTTGGTCCACAAGTCGAACCAGGCTCTGAGCTGGCTCCGCGTCATGGCGACCGCTGGGTCGACCCCCTCCAGCGCCAGGAAGGTGGTGAGGCATCGCCCAGGTCACGCTCTCCTCAGCGCCTGCGCATACCTCCTCCTGGCGAGCCTGAGGGCCCACGGAGAGAGCCCGTGGGCGGCCACCCCGTGCACCAGCGAGGCTGATGCGCCTTGGTGGGCCACTCCTCGCCTCCTCTTCAGCTTCAGCTTGCGCAGCTTGAGGCCGACCGATCCGAACCTCTTGTACGCATCCTTGGCCCCTTCGCATGCGTGGGCCTCCTGGTAGTACCTCTCGCAGCACGGTCAGCTCCGAGGTCTCTGCCCTCTGCGACCGCCTTGATCTTGACCCCAAGCTGGTTGAGCCTGGACTGCACCTGGAGCGCGGCGCCGAAGTCCGAGGTGAAGATCAGCGTCTTGTCCGCCAGGCTGAGCCCGTGCTGCTCCAGCCCCCACTTCAGCTTGCTCGTGACCATCGTGAGCTGCTCCGTGACCGCCTCCTTGCTTCCGACGACCTTGATGCAGATGCCGTCGAACCAGGCTCGCGGCATCGGCTTGGGCAGCGCCGAGGCGACGTCCATCATGTGGCTGAGCACCGCGTAGACCACCGTCTTGGCCACGTTGTTGGAGTGCCTCGAACCCGCCAGGATCGATCTGTCGGCAAGCATCGGCTCCGAGTACGAGTTCCTGCACCTCAGGATTCGGGCTCCCGAGTGCTGCAGAAGCAGCATGGTGAGGAGCCTCGGGCAGAAGTTCAACTTGAGCGCCTCTGGGATGAGGGTGTCGATGCGCAGGCTGTCGTAGAACTTCTCGATGCCTGCCAGCGTGCAGCCCTGGAAGATGCCGAGCGCGTCGCAGCAATCGTCCGAGAGGATACGCCTCAGCGCCTCCCTCTTGCAGCTGTTGCCTGCCACCGCCGCGTCCCACTCGCGCTCCTGCTGCTTTGCCCACTCCCTCACCGCGGGCCTGTGGAGGAGCTCCCAGCAGCGCACCAGCTGCGGGAGCAGGGCCAGCGCGCGGTCGCCCTTGGCTGGCTTGGGGATGATCATGACCAGCGCGTTCAGGAGCTGTCAGGGCCACATCAGCTTCAGCTCGCACTCGTTGAACAGGTCCACGATGGCTTGTCGCCCCGCCGTCGGTAGCCGACGGATGTCGCTACAGCAGAGCTTGTCTACTCCCTGGCCCCTGTCGGGCTCCCCCGCGAGGGGGAAGTCCAGGTCGTCGACAGTCCACTGTGGCGCGTCCACGGCTGCCGCTCGCCTCCTGAGGTCTCCGAGCAGCTGCGTGTGCGTGCCGTGGGCGACCTCCTCGCACCTCCAGATCTTCGCGAATGCCTCAGCCTTGGCGTCCACGATCTCCATCGGGCTGTCCGTCACGCCCGTCTCCATTGCCAGCTCCTCCTCGCGAGGCGGAGGAGGGAGGGAGGGAACGAGGGGCAGGAGGAGGATGAGAAAGAGGAGGAGGAAATGGAGTGGTGGAGTACGATAAGATGAGACAGCATCTCATGAAGTCTCGCGAAGAAGGGTGAGCACAAAGCCGCAGAAAAAAAAGGAGAAAGAGGAGGAGAAGGAGGAGGAGAAGTAGAAGGAGGAGGGGAGAGAAGCGGAGTGGAGCTGACCGCGCCGAGTCCGACGCGAAGAGGAGGACCACGACAATGATCACGAGGAGGAGGAGGAGGAGGAGGAGGAGGAGGAGGAGGAGGATGAGGATGAGGAGGAGGAGGAGAGGAGGAGGAGAGGGGGGAGGGGAGAGGGAGAGGAGAGGAGAGGAGGAGGGAGGAGGGAGGAGGAGGGAGGAGGAGGGGAGGAGGGGAGCGGAGTGGAGCTGACCGCGCCGAGTCCGAAAGCAGGAGGAGAGGGAGCAGGAGGAGGAGAAGGAGGAGGAGGGGGAGGAGGAGGATGGTGCGCCCTCAAGGGGCCGCCCGTGAAGGGGCCGCCCGTGAAGGGGGGCGAACTGTGGTACCTCACGCGAGTGGGGGCACGCCGCGGCCAGAGTACTCAGATGTAGAGCCACAGCGCTGATGCCCGGCCCATTTGCATCAGCCCCCACCTCCGCTCAGCAGCCCGGGCTCCTCCTCGGGAAGTCAATGGAGAGGCGTGAGGAGGGAGGAAGGATGGAGAGGAGGCGGAGGAGGAGGAGGAGGAGGAGGAGGAGGAGGCAGGTTGAGCACGCAACAGCTTTTGCTTAGGTCGGACTAACGTTAGAAAAGGAGGAGGAAGGAGAGGGTGGGCGAGGGAGGAGGGGAAGGAGGGGGAGAATAAGCAGGGCCGGGGGATGGGTACAGGTCGGTCGGAAGAAGTGGGTAGAATTATGAAGTAGGGAGGCGCTGGAAGTAGATTGGGCTTCCGCCCGCCCCCTGAAGAGGAGGGAAGAGGAAGAACCGCTCGACTCTTGAAATTGGAAGGCGGCCGAAATAGATTGGGATCTGGGCATCTAGAAACGCCTACTTTCAACGACCGGCCTGAGGAAGGAGAGGGACGAGGAGGGGGACGGGGGAGAAGGAAGAAGGCTGTATAAGGCTGTTTACGAGCAGATGAGGAGCATCGGGATAAGGAGGGAGGATCAGGAGGAGACCGAGGAGGAGAAACATAAGGAGGACGACGAAATGGGGGCAGGAGGAGGGTCAGGAGGGGGGACGAAGGAGGAGAAGGAGGAGTAGGAGGAAAAGAGGGAGGAGGAACAGCAGGAGGGGGAGCGAGGTGGAGGAGGGGAACATATAAAAGGAGGAAGACGAGCAAGAGCGTGAGGGCCGAAGGCTCCCGAGTTGACGGTGCGGTAACTGCTCCAGTGACGCCCAGCGATGCCGATCGCCACCGCCACGCAGTGCGAGAGATCCTGCCCGCAGCAGTAGAGGCCTCCTAGATGGGGTCCGAGTACATGGGGTCGAAGGATCGCGCCGCATCGCCATTGCATCTCTGATGTATCGGCAATGCATCGGCGGCGTCGACGATGCATCGGCGACGTCGGCGTGGGGAAACACGGGCTCCACATCGAGCCGCATCGCCGATGCATCGGCGATGCGGCGCGATCCTCCGACCACATCTACTCCGACCCCATCTAGGAGGGCTAGAAGCAGCTAAAACCACAACGATTCGCAGATATGTTGCCTACCCCTGCCCCTAAGAGCCCCAAAGCGCTTTCCTCTCTGTCCGGCGATAACGGGCGTTATAGGGAGGGCGGGGGGTAGAACGTAACGACCCCCCCCGCCGTGTGGCCACGGCACCACCGAAGGGTTTTTTTCCGGGATAGCGGCCATCATCGGCCCCGCCCCGCTCCCCCCCACCCCAGATGTCGTCACGTTCCGCGCCGGCGGCGCCCAGGAATGCCTAGGGACGACCGAGGCCAACTAGGAGCAGCGTGTAGGTGGCGATCTGCCCCCAGCGCCTGTGTACACCACGGTGCTCGCGTGCACCACAGCGCCCGGTGTACACCACAGCGCCTGCGTACACCAGAACAGCCGTGTGCAACGCAGCGCCTGTGTACACCACAAAGCTCACGTGCACCACGACGCCGCTGTACACCACAGCGAATGTGTACACCGCAGCAGCCATGTGCAAAACAGCGCCTGTGTACACCACAATGTTTGCGTGCACCACAGCGCCTGTGCACACCACGGCGTCTGTCTACACCACAGCATCGGCGTGCAACGCAACGCTGGTGTACACCACGCTGCCTGCGTGCACAGGACAGGTAAACGGGGCATGTCGGTGAGGATCTGCTGAGGACAACTAAACACCAAACCAAGGAAGTACTGAAAATATAATGCATTGTTCTTCCTTCCTCCCTCCTCCCCCACTTCCACCTTGTCTTCCACTTCCTCTTCCTCCTCCTCCTCCTCCACCTCCTCCTCTTCCTCCTCGTCCTCCCTCACCTTTCCCCCCTGTCGTGCGGGTCGGCGCTACAGAGCACGTGTACATCTCAGCGTGCACCGCGTAACGGTTTATTGGATCAGTCCACTTGTTTCTCGGACGGCAAATTCTGCTGGAGCTTCCTGGACGCAGACGGGGGGAGTTAGGATGATGCGGGAAGACTGGGGAGGACTCGTAGATTCCAGCGGCGCTCCTTCTTCCATACGGATTCCTCTCCAAATCCTGAATAAAAATTGTTGTCAGTGGAATCCGCAGGCGCTCCCTTTTCTCATAACACGTTCTTCTTACATTTTAGCTGCAACATTGGTGCTCTGTTGCGCACGGCTGTTGTGGTGCACGCAGGCGCCGTGGTGGACACAGGGGCTGTAGTGCATGCAGGCATTGTGGTGTACACTGGTGCTGTGTTGCACACGGCTGGTGTGGTGTACGCAGGCGCTGTGGTGCACACTGGCGCTGTGGTGCCCGCAGGCTCTGTGGCACACACTGGCGCTGTGTTGCACGAAGCTGATGCGATATACATAGGCGGTGTGGTGTACGCGGGCGCTGTGGTGCACGCAGGCACTGTGGTGTACACAGGTGCTGTGGTGCAAATCGCCACCTACCTGCTGCTGCTACCCGGCCTCGGTCATTCCTAGGCATTCCCAGACGCCCCCTGCGCGAAACCTGACGTCACTGGCCCCCTTCCCACCCCCCCAAATGACGACCGTCATCGACCCGGAATAAAAAAGCAGGCTCCAGCCGCGTCCGCGCGCACGACGACGACGATGAGCGACGAGCGACGAGCAACGAGCGACAACGATGACGACGACGACGACGACAACAACAACAACAAACGACGACGACGACGACGACGACGACTGCGGACCAGACCCCTACGGATTTCTGCGGACGCCGATGTGAATCCCGATGCGAACGGCGGCAATGCCCGGGGCGCGCTGGCGGGGGGGTGGGGGGCGATACGTTATTGGGGGGGTGCGGCGGAGGCCATAACGCCCGTTATGCGCCAAGCTATAAAGAAACACGCTCCTATTACCCTCGTCGTCCACGTCCCTCTCCCCATGGCGCCTCCCTCTAAGCGCCTCTTCCTCCTCCTCCTCCTCCTCCTCCCCCGCCTCCCGCTCGCCCCCCTCCCCCTCCTCGCCACCCGCCTGTTCCTCCCCGTCCTCCTCTTTACCCTCCGCGATCCCACCCTCTCCTTCTCCCCGGAGGCTCATCTAGCACTACGCGGCCCTGAATCAGCCTTACGTTCGTCGAACACTTGCCACACCGTTACACACTGGCAGACCACATGTGGTTTCAACACGTTGCTTCAACGGGTGCAAAGATGGAGACCGGATCCTTTTCGAAATGACGCTCTCGCCTGAGATCCCCTCGCGTCTAATACCGAACTTTGCGACTTTGCGTACAGAATGCGCGGCTTCTTCGAGCTTTCCGCATCGAGTAGCGCAGATGCAGAAAGCAATCTACAAGGGCAAGATTCCTGGCCACTCATGGGCGTCTCTCAGGCTTGCCGCGTGACCGGCCCAGAAAAAAAACAATTGAATCGTGCAGTGGCTTCTGTCGGGCCGGGCGAAAGAGGGGGATAGCAAAGGGGGGGGTGAGAATCAGCTCACGTAACTAATTTTCCCGGCGCCTCCCGGCGCCGGGAGGCGCCCATGCATCGAGGAATGGGCCCAGCGGCGGGGCCGAAACCAGCTGCATGCAGCAGATTTCGTACCCCCCCTTTCCCTATCCCCCCTTTCGCTCGGCCCGATTCTGTGAGGGAACACGAACTGGCCGCGGGATAACCGATGGCCCCTGGGAGATCCGTCGGCTCCCGCGATCTGGTCTCCAGGCGTGCGCGCGGGGAGCACAGCTCCTCGAGCCTGTGGCTGGTCTCTGGGAAGAAGACACCAGAGGAACACCCCAATCAGCAGATTCCCTGGAATCGTCGACTGCACTCCACGCCCACTCCCTCTCTCTATACATTTTATATATATATATATATATACATCTCCTATCTCTCTCTCTCTCTCTCGCATTCTCTCTCTCTCTCTCTCTCTCTTCCTCCCTCTCTTTGTATGTACCTCCCTGCTGTGTATAGATACACACACAAAAAACATGCATCGTCTCTGATTACTGGTATGCCCTTACACCTCGCTCTGCACTCCATTGTCGCAAACCTGCAATCATCTTCATACATATGTATATACGCACCCATGCTTTTATGCATATACTTCGACTGATGTATACGTGTATATATATATATGTATATGTATAATCGTGCCCCTGTCTCTCGATGCACCTCTCTCAGGCCAGACATATTATATACATACATATATATATATGTATGTGTATATGCGTGCATCTCTCCCTCTATTTAGCCAAATTGGTGTTATGCTCTGTGACATGTCTTACCTGCATGTGCTATATACCCTCTCACTCTGACCTTCCCATTCGCGAATACTCCGCTTTCTACGTATCTCTCTCTATCGCTCTCTAATCCGGTTCGCCTTCTCTGTCTCTCTCTCTCATCCTCTCTGCTACGCGTTACTACCGTGCTCCCTCGGAATACCCTTTAGAGTCGATCTAACGTCTGCTCCCCAGCCTCTGTGTTAGATCCTCTCTGCTCAACATTGGTTGTTCCTCTCTAATGAGTACTCCCCACGCTCCGCCATGAACACTTTCATTCTGACCCCGGCCGCAAACGTCCAGAAAACTCGAGAACCTAACCAACCATCCCACCGTACAAAGACTCAGGACCCGGAAACGGGAATCAGGAAGCCTGGCCGCCCACCGAACTCGGCGGGGAGATCAAGACCGCGGACATTGGAGCCCGCGCGTCGCTGGAGGCGGGAGGAGGAGGAGGAGGAGGAAGAGGAGGAGGCGGGAGGAGGAGGAGGAGGAGGAGGGAGGATTCGAAATGATATGGCTTAAGGAGGGAGGAGGATGGAGGAGAAGAAGGAGGAGGAGATTGGACATTGGGCCTTGGGCCTGCTATCTCCCTGGGCCGCCGCCCTCCCCCCCCCCTACCCCGCTCCTGCAGCACGGCGGGCCCGCAGGCGCCGCCCGCCCCCTCGGCGACCTGGCCCTCCTCGGCGAGCGACCGCTGCGCGAGGAAGATGGCCAGCACGGTGAGGGGCGGGGCCGCGGGAGCCCCGTCCGCTTCCGGCTGTGCTCCGGGGAGACGTAAGACTCGGGCTCGTATGGGCATGACAAATGTGGGCACGATGGTGACTAGCTACCAGACCACCCCAACCCAACCCGAAGACCCGAATTTGACCCGAGCTTCGGGTCAGGGGGGGTACGGGTTCCATGTGTTTTCTCCATGTTCCCCGACCCCCCCCCTCCACTGGAAATGGAGGCAAAATTGGGTCTTCGGGTTGGGTTGGGGTGGTTCGGTAGGTGGTGAGATGGGCATGGAAAAATGGGGCACGATGCCCAACAACATATGTTGCCCACAACCAGCAGCGGCCGCTGCTGGGCACGCGGCCTTCCGTGGACAGCGCTCGCAGGCGGCACCCACGGCGAGCCATGCTCAAGACAGGCAGGTACTGCTGCCAGGGAACGTGGGACTCGGGTTCGGGGGGCTCGAGTTAAGTCGGGCGTGTCCCCTTACTTGGGGATTTGGAGCGAAGAATTAAAAATACCCCAAGAATGCCCCAAACATGCTTAAACATTTGCAAAAAATAGTCCCCAAACTATTTTGGGACTATTCTTGAATATTCCCGGTGCAGAGGGACAAGCCCGACTTAAGGCTCGGGTTGGCCCGACGGGGCCATCAAGAAAATGACGAGACCCCATCTGAACTTTCACGCGAACTCCCGCTGCAAACATCCGACGGAAACCGGACCGTCAAATCCAGGACGGGCCCGTCAACACGCGCCGGCACACCCGAGTTTCGGCGCACTCGAGTCTTAAATTCCCCCCATGCAGGGTACCACTGGCCCAAGGTGCCCCCAGCTTGTCGCTCTAGTTTGCAGCCACTGGGGCCCCCTGGGCGCCTCGTGAGGGGTGCTCTGGAGGCCGTGGAGGGCCTCCGTGGAAATCCTGGGGGCCCCTTGGGCCAGGAGCACTTCTGGCAACACCCGACCGATGCGACCAGAGACCCCTGTCGACTCGAGCGGTCCGCGCCCAGCCTTTGCGTGCTCTTCGGGCTCCGGAGGCCTTCTCGCTTGCTTATCAAAAAGACGCTGTCTTGTTCAGACTCTGGCAAGCAGACTTGCATAGCATTGCTCCTCCCCCCCTTTCCGCCGCCTTATCAAACGGCGCTCGTTCGAAAAACTGCGTGCAAGAGATTCCTGGCTTGCGCGAAGTCCAGATTTCCTTCGGGCCTCGCCACGCCCCACCCCTCCGTGCAAGTAAACTTACCAGGCGATAAAGGAAAACTTCACCATAGGGGAAACGGTGAGAGTTCAACAAGCTCTCTGGGTGCAGGTGGTTAAGGGCGATTCCTCTTCCATCTTCCCACTTCCCCTTCGGGGGGGGTCTTACCCCTCCACCTACCAGGGGGGCTCTACCGGGGCGCGCGAGCGGTCAGAGCAACCAATATGACCCAGGATGACTCTAGACGAATCCAAGAGGGCCTCAAAGAGGCCGAGATAGCGTCAAAGATTGAACGAATTAGATATCCGAAGATGGCGCAAGATGGTGTCCAAGATGCTCCAAGAGGCTCCAAGACCGCTCACAGATGGGCCCAAGTGGCCACGGAGCCTCCCAAGGACGCCCCCCTTCCAACAGATGGTGAAATCAATGTGTTTGTTGCCTTCTCGCCTTTCGTTTCCAGTGGACTCATGAAGCCTCAAGATGGCTCCAAGACGGCCCTGGAAGACACCAAGAGAGGCCCAGGAGGGCCCCCCGAAGGCCCCATGAACGCTCACACACGTCCCAAGACGACCCCAAGCAGCGATTTGTTGGAATCCAGAAGTGCGATGATGTAGGGCCCCCCCCTCTTCTTTGACCGATGGCCCCAAATGTGGCCCCAAGAGGCCCCTCAAGGCCCCCGAGGATTGCCCAAAGAGAGCCCCAACACCTTCCAACATGGCCCCACGATGGCCCCGAGATGCCTCCAAGAGGCTCCCAGAGCGTGACTGCATGCTGCTGCGCAGTCTTGATACCAGAAGAGACACATGGACACCGCCACCGAGAATCCATCGGGGGGGACCGACCCCTGAGCGGTGGCACGTCTGAGCGTCGACTTGTGCTGGGCGACGCTCGAGCGTGACACCGCCCAGGGGTCGACCACCTCCCGATGATTTCTTGGTGGCTATAATCTACGCGAAACGCCAAACACTGTTTTCATGTTTAGCAGCATCCGGGGAGGTCTGGCTTGGGTTCTGCTCAAGTTGTCCTGGCCCAGAAGGTGTTCCTCCCAACTGTTTGCGCCATCTTTTGGGCCCCTGAGGCTGTCTGCAGGACCGCGTGAGGGGTGCTCTGAAGGTCATCTGGACCTCCCCGGGGATCCTGGGGCACCTTGGGCCAAGGACATGTTTGGCCACACCAAGCTGAATGAGCCTTGCAAGCGGTGAAGCCGTCTCTGTTACCTGTTCAGCTCTGTTGTCTGTGTCTGGCTCTGGCGCCGCTATATTTCCCGCTCCGTCACCATTTGTTGGTCTGGTGATGGTCCTGGTTTTGATTTGGGCGCCACGTTTACTATGGAAAGCCGTTAACATACAGCTTCCGTACGTTAGCCAGCAAGGCCACCAAACAGTGGCTTCTAGCAGACTAGGTGTTGCATGCTACGTGGAAAAAGCTATCTGGGGTGAACTTCGTGTTGTATGCTACGTGGTGCAAGCTACGTTGTGTAAGCTATTCGGTGCAACTAATTCTGAAAACTTGGAGTTGTGAACTCCACTGCTCGCACAATCATCTCAGCCACCAACCCGAAACTTGGTCTGCAAAACCCATGCGGCGGCGGATGCGATGAGAGCTTGGCGTTGGCTGGTGCGTCTCTGCGGCCGCGCTAGCCCGCGCATGCTCGCGCGCACACCAGCCAGCTAATTTGGCGCGACCGACGCGGCCACGGTGGCGCTGCTCGCCGGGCACTTCCCAGTGGGCACATCCGTGCGAGTCGGTGACTCAGGCGGGCGCGGTACCATTGCGACGTCGACAACGGTAGATGATACGAGCGATGATGGTGACGATGATGACGATGACAACGGCAAGGATAATCACGGCGCCGTTGCTCATCACGCCGATGACGATGACGATGTCCCCGCGTCGGTGATGAAGGTCGTGGAAGGCGTTCGGCATGCGCCCGCGGCCGACGCGCGATTGGCTCGCATGGTTTAATTTGACAGGGACCGTGCCCGCCCGCTTCCCCCCCCAGCACGCGCGCAAGGGCGTTCGAATGATTTCGACATGCGGGCGCGAGAGGCCCGCTTGGTAGAATCCCGCCACCCCTCTGGGCGTAGGTGGTCTAGGGCGGTTCCTCTTCGGAGAGGGGTTTACCCCTCCCCCTTCGGAGGGGACTCTACCCCTCCCCCTTCGGAGAGGGGTTTACCCCTTCCCCTCCACCCTGCCCTGGACCTGGATGGGCGCCCCGCGAGGCGTTGGAATGTCCAAGATGGCCCAAGACGGCTTCAAGAGCGCCTCGGAAAGTCCAAGATGGCCTCCAAGATGGCTCAAGATGCCTCAAGATGGCTCCCAATATGCTCCAAGAAACCTCACTACCGCTCCAGAACGTGTCCAAGTGGCCCGAGGGCTCCCCAAGGAGACCACCAAGAGGCCCAACTCCTTCCAACACCTGAGTAGGGAGCCACATGCGAACCCTACTCCTACCCCCCTACGATTTCTGAGGGGGAGGATGGGGATGTGAACCCCACCCGCCCCCTCAGAAATCGTAGGGGGTAGGGGTAGGGTTCGCATGTGGCCCCCTACTGAGGGAACTCAACGTGTGGCGCGTTCTCGCCTGTTCGCTTTCGATGGCCTTCCGAAGCCTCAAGATGGTTCCAAGATGGCCCAAGAGGTCCCCAAGAGGGAGCCAAGAGAGCCCCAAGACCGCACCCAGAGTGCCCAAGAGCGCTCCAAGAGCACCCCAAGAGGCGGTGTTAGGCACTCTACGCGGGCAAGGCGAACTAAGGCCCTTCCTTGTCTCATCGATGCCCTCCAAGATGGCCTCAAGAGACGCCCAGAAGAATCCACGGCCCCGGAGAGGTTCCCAAGAGGCACCCAAGAGACCCCAAAGAAGCCCCAGCAGGCTCCACCTGGAGCATCCAAGACGCCCCAGGAGGCCCCTGGGACCGCCAAGGGGCCCCCAAAACGCGCCAAGAGGCCTCCAAGAAGCTCCAAAGAGACACCCCAAGAGACTCCGAGAGCCCTCTGGCCCTTCTGCTCGCCTTTTTTCCTTTTTTTTATTCCGTTCCCTCCTCGTCCTCATCCGCCTGTTCCTCCTACTCCTCCCTCCTCCCTCCTCCCCCTTCTTTCTTTTTCTCCTCCTCCACCTCCCCCTCCCTCTCCATATTCTCTTGCTCCTCTCCCTCCTCCTCCTCCTCCTCCTCCTCCTCCTCCTCCTCCTCCTCCTCTTCCTCCAAATCCTCCTCCTCCTCCTCCTCCTCCTCCTCCTCCTCCTCCTCCTCCTCCTCCAATCCCCTCCTCCTTCCCCTATGTCTCCTCAATCCTCCCCCCTCTTGGGGTACGACGCTACCGAAACCCTTTGTTCCTATGTGGCCCTCCAGGGCTCCCAAGAGGGCCTCCAAGAGGGTCTCACGAGCGCCCCAAGAGGCCCCAACAGGGCACTAAGAGGCCCCCAAGAGGCCCCCAAGAGGCCCCCGAGCGGCCCCAGAGAGCCCAAGATGACCTCCAAGATGGCTCGAGATAGCCGAATCTTGCTCAAGATTGCTCCCAGCATGCTCCAAGAGGCCCTAAGACCGCTCCAAGACGGCTCGAGATGGCCATGGAGCCTCCCCGGGAGGCCGCCAAGAAGCCAAATCCTTCAACTCTCATGGGCATCGTTTCTGGATGGGCTGGTGGGGATTTTTTGATCGCGAACGCAAACGGAAAGGCTACGCGCCGTCCAGAGCTACCGTTAACCAGCAGGAGCCTAAATTGCACACGGAAGGGGGAATAAGAGAGACAACGCTGGTGGGGATACTTTTGGATAGCAAGCGCACCGGAAACGCCGTACGCCGTCCGAAAGTCGTAACTAGCGAGCTAACTGGGATGGTGCGAGTTCAGATGTATGGTGGACGGTGTGGCATAATCATATGCAAACTGCAATGCAAACAGGTGACGCGTTGAGTCCGGCGAAGGGAGATACCGTAGCACCCCGCAGATGCGGATAAGAGTGAGGGGGCGGTGGGGACGTCGGCAGTTTGCGAGACTCTGGAGCAGCCCGCCGCAGGCGCCAACGTTTCACAAGTTATACAACGAGACCGCCGCAGGCGTCGACTTTTTCGTTCAACCAATGTGGGTAGGTCGCGGGTAGGTCGCAAATGGGTCGCGGGTGGGTCGCGGGTGGATCCTTGTTGGGTCGCGGGTGTAGAGGGAAGAAATTTCACCCCATAATAATCACCCCCGCAAGCGAAGTCGTTTAGTTAACACAAGTAATGGATCGAACAAGGCAGGGCTGTTTAAGAAACGCCCCGGGCCGTTTAGTAAACGACAATTGTCGTGTCCGGGTGGTTTTTCCTCCCTTGGGGATGGGTCGCGGGGTGGGTCGCGGGTGGGTCGAGAGGTGGGTCGCGGATGGGTCGCGGGGTGGGTCGCGGGGTAGGTCGCGGGGTGGGTCGCGGGGTGGGTCGTGGGGTTGGTCGCGGGTGGGTCGCGGGTGGGTCGAGGGTGGGTCGCGGGTGGGTCGCGGGTGGGTCGCGGGGTGGGTTGCGGGTGGGTCGCGGGGTGGATCGCGGGTGGGACGACGACAACAAAACAACAACAACACCAACACCAACACCAACACCAACAACAACAACAACACCAACACCAACACCAACACCAACACCAACAACAACAACAACAGCAACAACAACAACAACACCACCAACAACAACAACACAAGCAGCAACAACAACAACAACAGCAAGAACAACAACAACAACAACAACAACACCACCAACAACAACAACAACGACAACATCAACAACATCAACACCATCAACAACAACAACATCAAAAACAACAACAGCAACAACAACAACAACAACAGCAACAATGCAACAAGCACAATTCTCACCACGAATTCCCTATTCAGCCACGCACCCAGGGACAATGAATGACCGTTCGGCCCCATCACTCTGATATCTTCATACCTTTTTTTTTGAAAGGAGAATATCTGTGGTGCACTCTATGTGGTGCGATCTATGGGATATGAGCTGTGTGCTGCAACGTACGTGGTGCTATCCACGTGGTGCGACCTATGTGGTGCAAACTGGGATGTGCAATGTACGTGGTGCACCCCATGTGGTGCGATCTATGTGGTGTAAGCTGTATAGTCCTATCTAAGCAGCGCCGGCGCTGCACTGGAATCTACGCGGTGTGAGCTACGTGGTGCAAGGCAAAGCGACAAGACGGCGACGGGGCGGCGACGAACGGCGACGGGGCGGCGACGGGCGGCGACGAGCGGCGACGGGGAGACCACAAGCCGGCCCGGGCGACCTACCAGCCCAGCGACGGGGCGGCGACGGGTGGCGACGAGCGGTGACAGGCGGCGACGGCGGCGGCGACGGGCGGCGACGAACGGCGGGCAAAAAAGTGGCCATGCCGCTCCCCGGGCCCCTTGAGAATCCGTCCCCGGAGTCCGTCTCTGGACCCCCCCAGGGTCCAAGCGCGCAGGAATTTGTCCGAGCTGCGCCCAGGTGGAGCGGCGACGGGCCCCCCCCCTGAAGGCCACATCCGATGCCTCGACTCGCCCGCCCTCCTCCGACGCGAAGGTCGGGCGGGTGGTAAGAGGGGTGACCCAACTGGGGGGTGTGGATCCCTCCAGGGTCCTTTTGTCCACCCCCCATTCAGGTCACCCTTGCTTTACCGCCCGCCCGAGAAGCGCGAGTGGGGGACGCTCAACGGACGGGCTTCCCTTCAGCCCCGGAGGGCGCACGCCACGAGCGTCCTCAGACCGCTGCCGTCCTTGGCCACCGGGGACACCGCGTCGGCAGCCATCTCGGGGCAGGCCCTGCTCGAAGAGCACCCGACTGCGGCGGGGCGCCTCTCGAGCAAAAAGCTTCACCGTGCGCGGGTTGTCAGGTTGTCTGGCCTGGTTTCCCGTTTGGCCATCTTCTCAGTATCCTCCTGGCAACCCTTGTTGCTTCGCTTGTCCCGCTGCTGCTCCCAAGCTCCTCCTCTTTCTCCTCCTCATCCTCCTCCGCCTCCTCCTCCTCTTCCTCCTCTTCCTCCTCTTCCTCCTCCTCTTCTTTCCCTCCTCCTCCTCCTCCTCCTCCTCCTCCTCCTCCTCCTCCGCCTCCGCCTCCGCCTCCTCCCATCCTCCTCTTTTTCCTCCTCCTCCTCCTCCTCCTCCTCCACCTCCGCCTCCTTCGCCGCCTCCTTTTCCTCCTCCTCCTCCTCATCCTCCTCCTCTCCTGTCCTCCTCCTCCTCCTTCTCCTCCTCCACCCGGGCTTTCCTTCCCGGGGGGCTGCCAGGTCCCGTGGCCTCCCCCAGGGCGGTGCGGGAGATCACTCCCCGCAATCGCCGCCTTGGGGCGGGACTGGCGGTCCTTCTTCCCCGTCGAATCGTGTCGTTGTCGGTCGTCGTCGTTGCCGCGGCGGTCGGGTTTGCTGAGCGTACCGCTGGAGGTCCTCAGCAGCCCGACTGCCGCGGTTTGCGTTTTTTCCCGTTCCGCTCGGCTGGCCCGGCCCGCCGGCCGTGTGTGCGGGGCGCAGTGGGGTCCCTGGGCGGCCAATGCGCCGCCCAGGGCCCCGTGTGCGACAATGGTGTGGCCTGAGCGTGCCATGTGCATGCCGCGGAAGCCGAAGTGCTCAAAAAAAATCCTCCCCTTCCTCCTCATCCTCATCGTCCTCCTTTCCTGTCCTCCTCTTCCTCCTCTTCCTCCTCTCCTTCCTCCTCCTCCTCCTTCTCCTTCTCCTCCTCCTCCTTCTCCTCCTCCTCTTCGTCCTCCTCCACGCCCTCCTCCCCTTTTTCCCCCTCTTCCTCCTCCTTTCCCTCCTCCTCCTCATCCTCCTCCTTCGCCTCGTCCTCCTCCTCGTCCTCCTTTCCTCCTCCTCCTCCTCTTCGTCCTTCCCCTCCTCCTCCTGCTGCTCCTCCTCTTTTCCTCCGCCTCCTCCTCCTCCTCCGCATCCTCCCCCTCCTCTACGCGCGCATCTGGTAGGAGCCTGTTCTCCGAAATGTACAACAGCATTTGCGCCGAGCTTTGGCAAGGCGAGCTCCGTGCCACAATTTTCCTAACTGCTGAGCAAGCGCACAGTTTTTACCCAGTCGCAACGCTATGTTCAAACACCCCCTTTGGCCAATGTTGGCCAAACGAAGCGTCGGGGGAAAGGAAACAACGAGATGGCCGCATGAGGTCATTTGAAAGTGGTTAAGCATTCCGTGGCGGGGTTTCCAACTCAGCAGGGCAAGCAGCTGCGATTTCGAAAGCATGCGTAGTCAATTAAAAGCATGACTGGCGCATGCAGAAAGCGACGATGGTTCGGGCGTGATCGTGCAGGGGTCTCCTAACACGCGATGCCCTATGTGTAAATGTCGTGAAGCACCGAGTCAGGCAATCTGCTTCGTATCTTCTGTAGCGTAGGGCTTAGATCGCATTGGCGAACACTTGGGCCTCAACTCATCCTGAGGCCAAATGTGTCGGCAAACAATGACGCGATGAGAGCCCGGATGTGGATAGACAGAATTGTCCGTGGAGGGTGACAGCTCGAGCCTTCCGCTAACAAGGTCTTGATTGGTACTTCGCTTATGCATGGGCATGCTTTCTCCGCTCGCATACTGAGTTCGAGCATCTGCCAAACTCTCAAGGACCCCTATGTTGAATCACTTTGATGTCCCCTCGTCGCACCGCGCCCTGCAGCCGAAGTTGGCAGACTTCAATGTGTCTGACCTTTCCTTACCAGCGCCAGCTCGCAACAGCACTGGCTGCGCTCGCATCGCTCTCAACCGAGATGCTGGGATCAATATCGAAGTCCTTTGTGGGCCCCTTACAACCCTGATGATGCGAAGGCACCTTCACCCACTCCGCAAGATTCTGCTTGTCCAGAAGACAAGCCCATGATTCTCTGGGTCGAACCCTGCAATTTTATGAATTGCGATCCCCACAAAACTGCCCCTGCACTCGAAATGTTGCCCATTCTGGTGCACGCCGCATTGTCGGCGCCTGTCCACGCAATCAACCCCGCATGCCGTTCTTGATGCAAATGCTGATGCACGCGCCTGTCGTTGTGCTTGAGGAACTTGCCCAAATGGGTGACGCTTTTGCACGCGCCCGGGCCCGGGGCCGACACGGCGCGCGCAAGCTCCTCGACGGGGAACTGCACGTCCGAACGACCTCGTGCAAAATGACTTACTCAGGCCACTGAGACATGGCATTCCGCCACTTCGTGACTTGGGGTGAGCTCGCAACCCTGGCCCTCGACAGGTTGCTTGTCGCCCGGCGTGTTCTATCTCGCCGCTCTGCTGCAGACATAATTCCTCGGCGACTATTGCTGCGCGCCTTTGGCCCGCCCCGCGCCGCGGCGCACCCTGGTTGCCTTCCAATGTCGGGTTGGAAATCCTGACCGACATCAGATCTTTTGGCCCTGGCCCAACTCCGCCTCGGACTTGCACTTCGAACTTCCCATCGGAGTTCCCTTTCGAGAAAATCGAGACAAACCTCGCCTCCCAACAAGACAAACAAATCGCCCCCCGTGCTCTGCGAGCCAGATCCGCCGCGATGTACTTCAGCGCATATAGCAGTGTTTCCTCGCTGACAAAACCAATCTCACGCGCGGAAGCCATGCGACAGACTCCCCAAATGCCGGCGGCATCCCGAGCGCCGTGCGTCGACGCGAATAATTCCCCACGCGTGCCCGGCTCGCGCAAATACTCGAGCAACTGGATGAAGATGCCCCGCGCGGCCCCGGCGTAAATATGCGCCCCTTCTAGCAAATATGAGCGCCAACTTCAGCCCGTCCTCGCGCCCCCCGCGGTCGTGATCGACCCTGCCGGAAGCAATCGTAGAGAATGACAATCCTGGGGCTTCCATTGGAGGGGCGGCTGTACTTCGGGGTCGTGCTGAACATGATGGGCCACCAGCCAGATCATCACTCAGGATTGGCCTCGCCCTCCAAATTGATAGCGATCCACCTCGCGCAATTGGGGGCCTGGGCAACAACTGCCCAGCATCCACTCCCCTGACCATCGCGTAAACGTAAACCTTGGGCCTCCTGAGTCGCCCCATCTTCCGAACATTTTTCGCGTGAGTTTTGGCGCATCGCCCCGCGCCCGCGCGTTTCCGCGCTCGCGGTGGCCTACGCATGTGTCACCTCAGATAACTGGCTGCACCCCAGCAACACTCTCATGCCTCGCGCGCCCCGGGAATTCCCGAACAGCCTCGCTGTTGGCGCGATCCGCAGATCTGTTGGCGAGGCTGGATGCCCAGGCCCATTCGGCAAGTCAATTTAGCAGAGATGTCGCGCGCCCGCCCCCTGACCCCCCCCCCACCCCACCCCGCGCATCTCCTTCGTTCCCATTCGGCAAGTCAATTTAGCAGAGATGTCGCGCGCCCGCCCCCTGACCCCCCCCCCACCCCACCCCGCGCATCTCCTTCGTTCTAACTCCCCCCCCCGCGTCCTCGAGCGCCCAGCCAGTCTCCGAATCATGAGAAACTCCGCAGGCACGCACTCCGCGTCGGCCGGATCTCCTGGCCCAGGTCAGTCAGCGCAAGTCCATCTCCGCGCTCATCCGTTCCGCGCCCGATCTTCTGCTTCTCTATTCCATCGTCTGGGTCACTCCGCGCGACCTCAGGATCGCGCGCGCTGAAAGAGCACCCGAACTGGTCATCTGGTGCCATCCGTATAACTCGAAATGCCGATGCTACTATTGACACTGCGCACTGAGGGCCCGTCCGACGCAGGGCCAGTGACCGCAAGCCGCAAGTGCAACTTCGCGGGCATCCCCACTCCAGCTACCATTTGGTTTCAGTCACAGCAACGCATATCGCCCCCATGCATGCGAGCCCTCGCGCTTCGACATTCTCCGCGTCGGCGACGCGGCCCCAGCTTGAAACCCCGGTAGGGCAGGGCGTTCGAAGAGAACGCATAACCCTTTGCTTCTCTGTGTCTGACATCGATCCAATGCGGTCGCGAGGCGCTCGACCCCGTGACGAAACATTTCCTCCGCTTGTTCTGACCCCGGGCGTTCTGAATTCAATGCCTCTGGCCTCCTGGGCGCTGCGCGCAGTGGACTCACGATCAACTATAAGTCTGCGTTGCTCTTGAAAGTGCCCTTTGCTTTCCCCCGCGTCGCCTCGCTATCGACGCCCCAGGGGCCCCCGCTGTCATCGCGCGCGACTGAGTTCACGGCCAAGCCCGGTTTGAGCCCCATTTTCTCGGCCACGCCAGCAACTGGCCTCGGGAAAAAGTGACTGCGCCTTGCGCTGGCCTCTGCTGCGCGCCCTGACTGCCGCCCTAATGTCATTGGCCTGTTTGACGACATCCACATCGGGACTGACTGACCACTCCACAACTTCGGTGTCCTCCCTTATAATGCCTGACCCAATGCGCACTTCATCCGCCATCAGATTATCCCGATCTTCGCCGGCATGCCCCAGCTGATACTTCCATCCGCGATCTGGCCGCCCGGCCCGCTGCGAACCTCGACCTCGGCGCCCTCGCCCTGCATCTCCCTGCTTTCACCCCCTTCCCCTCTGACTTCCGTGGCGCTATTGTCATCTCCAGGCGCCTGGCCATAATGTTCGCCGCCGCTGATCTTGGCGGATCAACGTCGGCTGGTTGCGCGTCGTCGTCGCCATCAGATACAGCGCAGAAATCAGCTTATCCCCCTTGCAGAAGCCACTCTCCGCTCCTTGGTCACGCCCTCCCCATTGCGCCATTTTCTTGGCAGGTTGCACGTGCTCGCCCGTCGTCCGTCATTGAATTAACCACTTGAGGGTTCTCACCCCTTTGCGTTTAGGCATGCATATCCTGGTCCTGGGTTCGATGTTGCCGAGTCGCTAAGCAGTCTTCAAATGGCAAAGTTTCCAGCAATTGATCCTCCCCATGATTGTCCTGCCTGGCGCTGGTGGCCCCGACTATCACTCGGGCTGCTGCTAACCTCTCCTGGATTTTCGGGCTGTCTGGCCATTTAAGCCGCCGGATAGCCCTTCCACTGAATCCAGGACTACGTGGTCCATGAACGGCGTCTCTTCAAGCCATGGCGCTGCAACCTTAGCACCCCGAGCGTACTCAATATGTGGTTGATTGTCGGCGGCATCGTGTACACTCCGCGACGATTGAGCAATTTGCGCAGTGGGCCAAACTCTCGCGCCAAACTCCCAGCTGCGAGAGCGAGGCTCGCAACGCTGAGGAGGATGCACCAGTCGAGCGAACTCCACTGACCGCCAGCAGTCTCAGAAGGCGCAGGTTGCGACAAATGCTCGGGCTCGCAACGATCCAATTGTCTTTGAAGCAAGGCTACGGGGCCTCTGTCCACGCCTGCCCTCTCGAACCTGCACGCACGCGCACGCGCGCGCGCCCGGTGGGCTTGGATACCTCGCGGCCTCCACCGCAAATCCATACACCAAGGGCATGGCAAAAGACGCAAGCGCCCCACGCTATGGCTTGGTCGAAATTCGCCCCGCAATCTCACCACCCACCACCGCCTGGTGGAAAAGATGAAAGAAACAGCGACGTGTCGAAGCGCTATTCATTCGCGTGCCTAACGAACCATGCATATACGTTTGCATATACGTGCACATGTACATGTACATTGCATAGACATGTGCATGCACACATACATATACATATATATATGTGCATATACACTTGCAGGTACGCATGAATTTGCATCTACAGGTACATAGACACAACCGTACACACATGCATGTGTATACCAACACGCATATACATATGCAGTTGCATATGCGTGTACATGTGCAAGCAGACGCACACATGTACATATGTGCTCGCCCCCCCCCCACATGATCATACGCATTCCCCTTTCATTCCTCCAGTCCTTCCTCCCCCTTCCCTCCTTCTTCCCTTCTTCATTATGTTTCGCTTCGTTGCCAGCAGCAACCTAGCCGATTGCAATCTAAACTGACGTAGCCACACGTATTGCACGCCAAGGGATTGACACCGACTCGAAGGAAAGCAAACGGGTTGCATCCCAAACACTTCAATGCGAAGCGACTGCAATCATCCGCGGCGCATTGCAATCCAGTCGACGGCGTTGCAATCGATCACTAGGAATCCATGTGTTGATGAGGATCTTCTCACCCCGCCTCCCCCTCATCCTCATCCGCGCCATTTTCCTCCTTCTCCTCCTCCTCTTCCTTCTCATCCGCCTAGGTATCCTTGTTGTGAAAGGATTCAACACGAACCCTTCTGTGGAGGAGTTCTACGAGACTCCTTCTGTGAATGATCTCAATGGGAATACGTTTGCGGAGGATTCCAAGTGGATCTTCCGGTGGAAGATTTCAATAGGAATCATTATGTGTAGGATTCCCTCCCTCCTCATCCTCTTCAGCCGCCTCATTTTCCCTCACCGTCCTAATCCGCCTGCTTCTCCTTCTTGTGAAGGGTGTCGCTCTGCTGTGGAGGCTTTCGCTAGGAATCCTTCTGTGGTGGCGTTCGGTCGAAACCTTCTCCTCGTCCGCCTCATCCTCCTCCTCCTCATCCGCCTCGTTCTTCTTTTTGTCAAAGGGGTTCAATAGGAATCCTTTGAGACATGGGGGCGGGATGAGGGGCGAAGAGCAGGAGCAGGAGGAGGAGAAGGAGGATGATGAGGAGGAAGACGAGGATGTTGAGGAGCATGACGAGGGCGATGCGCAACACATTACTCACATACCTGCTTGCGGAGCTGCGTTCGCAAGTGGATGTGTGAGTAACGCCTCGAAGCGGAGTGCAACGGGCAGAATGAACAAGAGCAGGAGCAGCAGGAGGCGACAAATGAAGAAGAGGAGGGTGAGGAGGAAGAAGAAGAGGGTGAGGAGCATGACGAATGTGAGGATGAACAGGTTACTCACAAAGGTAGTTGTGGAACGGCGTTCGCAACTAGCTTTGTGAATAATGCTTCGTATCGTAAGGTTGCTCGCAAAACTTCTTGTGGAGCTGCGTTCACAACTATATTAGTGAGCATCACCTCGAAGAGGAGAGAAGGGGGCAGAATGAACAGGAGTAGGGGCAGCAGGAGGAGGGTGAGGAGGAAGAAAAGGGTGAGGAGCATGACGAGCGTGAGGGGGAACACATTACTCACAAAACTCATTGTGGAGCGGCGTTCACGACGAGGTTGGTGAGTAATGTTTCGTAGCGGGAGGTTACTCGCAAAACTTGATGTGCCGCGGCGTTCACAACTAGATCAGTAACGCCCCGAAGCGGAGAGCAGCGGCCAGAATGAAAAAGATGAACAGGAGCAGCAGGAGGAGGGTGGGGAGAACGAAAAGCAGGGCGAGAAGAACGACGAAGGTGAGGAGGAACACATTACTCAGAAAACTAGTTGTGGAGCGGCGTTCAGTGAGTAATGTTTCGTAGCAGGAATTACTCGCAAATCAAGTTGTGGAGCTGCGTTCACAACTAGATCTGTGAGTAACGCCTCGAAGCGGAGAGGCGGAGGCTGAGTGAGGAGGAGAAGGAGGAGGAGGGGGGAGGAGCAGGAGAAGTAGGAGGAGGAAGAAGAGGAGGGTGATGGGGGAACCCATTACTCACAAAACTAGCTGTGGAGCGGCATTCACACATAGTTTCGTTTCGTGAGTACTATTTCGTAGCAGGAGGTTACTCGCAAAACTAGTTGTGGAGCTGCGTTCACAATTAGATCTGTGAGTAACGCCTCGTAGCGGGGAGGAAGGGGCACCCCCTCCCCCACTTCCTCCTCCTCCCCCTCCTTTTCGGAATCAACGAAATCGCGAAAACCACCGAAACGCTTCAGAAAACAAAAAAAAAAACATCAGGTTGGGAAAACCTTGCCGTGCCGGCCCCTCTCCCCAGAAGTTCACTCGAAATACTGCTTCTGTTTGTTTGTGTGTGTTGTCCCCCTGTTTTGTTGTTTTGGTTTTCTGACGCTTGTCGTTGGTTTTCGCGATTTCGCTGGCTCCGAAGAGGAGGAGGAAGAGGAGGAGGAAGGATAGGGGGAGGAGAAGGAAACGGAGAGTGACGATATCGATCGGCGGCCGCGGTAGAGACGAACCTGTATGATCATGTGGGGGGGGGGGGCGGCCATGTATGTGTACGTATATGCATTTGCATATACATACATATGTATATGCATATGCACATTGTTGTACCTATGCGTATACAGTTGCATATGCATAAATTCACGCATGCAAAATAGGTATATGCACACACATACGGAAAACGCGAACATGTGCATGCACACGTACAAGCACACACACACATATACATGAACATATACAAATACACATACGAACGTATACATCGAAATATACATACGCATAGGCATATACATGTGCATATTTAGTTGCATATCAAACCACGTATGCATCTACAGTTACATGCGCGGATATATATATATATATATATAACTGTACATGCACATGTACATCGACATATGCATACACATACGCATGTGCAAATACATGTGCCTAGCAGTATACACACATGTATACATGTGAATGTGCAAATGCAAATACACAAACGCATGCAATTCCATACAAACTATATTCATCCATATACGTACATATAGGCTTACACATAACAGCTCTAGTCATAATCTGCAACTATATGACATATGAACATATACATACATCTATACATAAACAAGGGCCGACCAATATGCGTTATACTTGCACTCCTGAGGGTCAGGCAACCAACATTCCCACGTCAGTACATGTAGGAAGTTGACCTGGCCGATGAAATCTGCAGACTACGATTGCGGCGCCTCAAATGCCCAACCAACGTTGCTCCCCCCTCCCCCCTTTTTCTCTCCATTATCCTCTTCCTCCTCCTCGTGGCATGCGATGCGTTGGCATGCATTGGCATGCGTTGGCATGCACTGACATGCGTTGGCATGCATTGGCATCAATCGGCATGCGTAGGCATGCGTTGGCATGATTTGGCATGCGTTGGCATGCATTGGCATGCGCTGGCATGCGTTGACATGCATTGGCATGCATTGGTATGCGTTGGCATGCGTCGGCATGCGTCGGCATGCGTTGGCATGCATCGGCATGCGTTGGCATGCGTAGGCATGCATTGGCATGCATCGGCATGCGTTGGCATGCATGTGCATGCGATTGCATGCGTTGGCATGCGCTGGTATGCGTTGACATGCACAGGCATTCACAGGCATGCGTTGGCATGCAGTTTCATGAATTGGCATGCATTGGCATGCATTGGCATGCGTTGGCATCCGTTGGCATTAATTGGCATGCGTTGGCATGCGTTGCCATGCATTGGCAGCCCTTCCCACGTGCTACCCCTAATATGGGCAGCCAATTCGGTCTTGTGGGGCTGGGGCAAATGCCATTCCCCAGCCACGCCAAAGGGGTACAGAAAGGTGACCCCTCATGCTGGGGAGTTGGTCCCCCTTACCTCGTGCGTTGACCCTTCACGCTAGTAATTGTACCTCTCATGCGTTGACCCCTCATGCTGGGGACTGTACCCCTCATGAGTCGCACTGTCGTGCTCGCATCTCGCCCGTCATGATGTCGGGCTTTCCCAACTGGTGGCTCTCGGCCGTGCCTGGAGAGAACACCAATGAGTTGGGCAGCTTACCGGTGCAATGACGCTGTTTCGCCCGTGCCTGGAGCTCAAATTCAGCGGCAGGGAGGCGCGCGGACTCATTAGGGGTCCGATTGCTCCCCTGAGGAGAACCGCTGGACAGTGCACGGCTACAGATTCAGTATGTGTGCGGACCACTGCGGCGGCAAGTTCGCTTCCCCGACTTGGGATGCCAACCTGTAGGGCATAGGGTGAGGAGGGGGCGGTGGACAGAGAAGGCGATATAGAGGTGGAGCATCGACCGGTGCTCCCCACTAAGCACCTCAATATCATTGCTGTCCTCCGCCCCCCGCCTTTGGCCGCGTGGCAGGTTTCTCGCATCGGCCAGACCCCGCTCCCCTAATTAGGGCTGAGGTGTGTGAGCCCGACCCACGGCCTAAGGGTACATCCGTGACAATCCTCCTCCTTCTCCTCCTCCAAGTCTTCCTCCTTCTCCTCCTCCTCCTCTCCGTCCTCCCCCTCCTCCTCGCCGACGTCGCCGTCGTCCGCCGATCGACCAGCCCAGGTCCTGGTCGACCACGTCAAGCGCGCCAGACGTGTGCTCCCAGACCGCGATTCCCGCGACCGTGCCGCCGTCCCGCGTGACCTCAACGGGTCCGCGGGGAGGAGAGTTTCGGAGCCACCGGGAGGAGCACGGAGGACGAGAGGGGGGGAGGGCACAAGAGGATGAGAGAAGAGAGGGGAAGGGAGGATTGTTACACGTGGACGACGGAAGACTCCTCCTGCCCCTCCTCCTCCTTCTCTTCACCCTCTCCTCTCCCCGCTCATCCTCACGCTCCTCACCCTTCATATTCCCCCGCTTCCTCCCCATTTAAACCGTTGGTCGCCTCCTCCTCCTCCTCCTCCTCCTCCTCCTCCTCCTCCTCGGACCTTGGACCTGCGGACTGTCTCCTCTGAACCTCCTCCTCCTCGTCTCTTCCCTCCCCGATCTTCCAACCCCTGAGTCCTCTCCTCCTGCCTGTTCTCCTCCTTTTCCCCTTTCTCATCCTTCTCCCTGTTGTCCTCGCCATCCTCATTCGTCTCCTCCAGCTCCTGACTGTTTCCCCGTCGTTGCTCTCCCTCGTCATTGTTCAGATGATCCACCTTTTACGTATCGTCGTCCTCCTCCTTCTCCTCCTCCTCCGCTTCCTCCTCCTCTTCCTCACCCTTTCCCTCCTCCCGCTCTTCCTCATCCTCGTCCATCCTCTCTGCCTCCCCTTACCGAGCTTCCTGTCGGACCCCCCGAACCTGGTAAAGCACAGAGGACAGCGGCTGGCCATCAGGCCTGGCCCTCCCCCTGGGAAACCACGGCGACACCGCTGCAGTCCCCCGTGCTCGCTCGCGGGGGATGTGTTTCTTGCGCTCCCGCCTCGGCGCGGCGTGGGGTGTCTCGCCCTGGCGTGGACGAGGCCGTGTCCTCCCCGCGTCTGTGCGTATCTGCTCCGCCCACCCCCCTCGGACGGGCCCGAGGAACAATCTCGGGCTGGGTAACACGGGCGCGGCAGGGAGCAGACCTGCAGCTGGCGGTGAAGCCGATCCATCGAATGGGAGCGAAACGTTGAACGAGTCGGGTGGGAGCCAGTGTACGGACAGGCCACTGTACCTCCTCTGACAGAACGGATCACGTTTCACAAGACGGGCATCGTCGTCGACCCCGTCCTGGCTGTCGTACCCCACGGCGTCGTCGTCGTCGTCGCCGCCTTCCGCCGCCGCGGCCTGCACCCCTCTGGCGGGGCCGCCCGCAGATGGGACTGCCTCCGCCGTTGCCGTCCTCGTCGCCGTCGTTCTCTCCTCCTCCTCCTCCTCCTCCTCCTCCTCCTCCTCCTCCTCCTCGGCGTGGCCTCCGCCAACTTTGACCGCCGCCGCCGTGGCCTCCGCCAACTTTGGCCGCCGCCGCCTTTGGTCGCTGGCGTGCCGTCGTCCGCGCCGTCGGCGTCGGCACGGCAGCCCCAGAGCGGCCTGCACCCTTTGGCAGGTCCGCCTGCCGCCGCCGGGGAGCGGGCGCAGGTCATCGGGCCCCTTGGCGGTGTCGGTCTGGGTGCCGTTCTCCCACCTGGCGCCGGGGCCGCGTGGTCGGGGATCCTGGCCTGGGTCAGCGCGAGCCTGGGTCAGTCAGGCCTTGCAAGCTCCTGCAAGATCCTGCACGCTAGCCCAGGTCAATGCAGCCCTGGCTCTGCACGATCCTGTAGGATCCGGCGCCCTGACTGACCCCGGCTTGTATCGACCCCCGTCCATTGAGCCCCGACGTGGGGATGGGTTGGCAGGGCCGGCTGCGCGGAGCCCTGGTTAAGAAAGCTTCGGATTGCGCACATACTGCCGTCCTAGCTGGCCACAGCAGACCCCCCGAGTGGCACGGGGCGGTCCCAGAGGCGCCGCCCGAGGCGGCGCCAGGGTGTTGAGACTGCCCCAGACCACTCGGGGGGCATGTTGAGGCCAGCCGAGAGGTCAGCGCGCAGCCCGAAGCCTTACCAGCCCCGCGGGCCAAGCCAGTCAGGTATGAGGTCGCCAGCTGGGCTCGCGGAGCCGGCTGGCCTTTGGCCGTGCCAGGCCCCCGGCGCGGCTATGCCCACCACTCCCGAGATTCGGAGGGAGAATGGGGGGAGGCTGATGACCGTGCGCACCGCCGACGGCATCCCCCCCTTCTCGTGTGCACCAGCTAGGTTAGGTCCACTCCGCCTCCTCCTCCTCCTCCTCCTCCTCCTCCTCCTCTTCCTCCTCCTCCTTCTCCTCCTCCTCCTCCTCCTCCTGATACTTCTCCTCCTCCTCCTGTTCCTCTTTCTCCCTGCTCCTCCTCCTCCTCCTCTCCGCGCTCCCCACCCCGCCTCCTCCGTCCGCCCCCTCCTCTCCTCTCCTCCTCCTCCTCCTCTCCTCCTCCTCCTCTCCTCCTCTCCTCCTCCTCCTCCTCCTCCTCCTCCTCCTCTCCTCCTTCCTCCCCTCCTCCTTCTCCTCCTCTCCTCCTCCTCCCCTCCTCCTCCTCCTCCTCCTCCTCCCTCCTCCTCCTCCTCCTCCTCCCCCTCCCCTCCTCCTCCCTTCCTCTCCTCTTCTCCTCCTCTTCTGCTCCTCCTCCTCCTCTGCTCCTCCTCTCCTCCTCCTCCTCCTTCCTCTTCTCCTCCTCCTCTCCTCCTCCTCCTCCTCCTCCTCCTCCTCTCCTGCTCTCTCCTCCTCCTCATCCTCCTGCTCCTCCTCCTCCTCCTCCTCCTCCTCCTCTTCCTCCCTCTCACTCTTATGCGACCGGAATGGATTCGACCATCCTTGTGGATATGTTCGATGGCCTGAAGAATAGCCTGCACGGCTGGATGCCAGCGCGTCCCCAGCGGTGGCATTACGGAAACGCGCGGCCTGTGCAGCCAAACCAACAAGCCATTGCACGTCTGTCTCGAGATCCCTCCTCGTCAATGTCTTTCTGCGCATCGTCCTTGTCTTCCCCCTGCGGCTGCTGCTATTATTACCGCTATTGTTTGTGATATGCCTACTGAGGCTGCTGCTGCTGCTCCGTGTCTCGAGATTCTCTGGCTGGATTGCCCCACGTGACTTTTCCAGCAGCCAGAAGGCACCAAGACGGGCCAAGAGGGCCCGCCAAGAGGGCCCCAGAAAGCTTCCGAGAGGGTCCAAGAGGCCTCCAAGACAGCTCAAGAGCGCTCCAAGACGCCCAAGATGGCCCCACGACGGCCCAAGAGGCCCCAATAACGCCCCAAGATCGCTCCAAGAGGACCCCCAAGAGGGCCCAAATAGGCAAACGTCATTCATATTATGTGTTGTTTTTTGTTTCGCGTTCTCGCGTTTTCGGGCTTCCGACGCTCCAGGATGGCCCCAGAGGTCCACAAGACCGTTCCAAGACGGCCCAAGATGCCCCCAGTATGGCCCCAGACGGTCCAAGAGGGCCCCAAAACTGCCCAAGAGGCGCCCAAGATCGCCCACGAAGGCTCCAAAACGGTCCCTAGACGGCCCCAAGAGGGGGAACACGAACCGACAATTCGAGCCTTTGCCCCAAGAGGCCCCCAGGAGGCCCCAACAGGCCCCCAAGAGAGCCCAGCCCCCAAGAGAGCCAAGAAGAGGTTCCAAGAGGCCCCCAAACAGCCCCCCAAGAGGCGTCAAAGCTGCCTCCAAGGGGCACCCGATTGGGCTCTTTTGGGGCCGCATGGGGGCCCTCTTGGGCCGTCTTTCTGCCTTTTTGGGCCGTCTGGGGGCCCTCTTGGACCGTGAGGCCTCTGGGGCCGTCGTGGGACGATCTTTGGGGCCTCTGGGGCCGTCGTGGGACGATCTTGAGCCCGTCTGGAGGCCCTCTTGGGCAGTTTTCGGCCCCTTTGGAAAGCCGCTAGGGCCGTCTTGGGACGATCTCTGGGGCCTCTAAGGCCGTCTGGGGCCCTTCTGGGGCTGAAAAAGGAAGAACCCGAATTACGCTACCGAGGAACCCGACATCGGACGTGAAGGGGCGAGGTCGAAGTGGGACGGAAAGCCCCCCTACAGGGAAATCGGTGTCGGTTTCGTGTTCGTGCGGGCGAGGCGAAACAGCGTGGGCGGGCGAGAAATGTCCCGCCTCTGGCTGAGGCGCGGCCGGACCCAAAGTCCCCCTTCCGGCAACCGGTGCCACGCGGTGTCCCGCCGGTGTCCCGCCTGTGTCCCGTCGGCGCCCCGATGATGATGATGTCGTTGATGATGATGATGATGGTGATGAAATGTTCATGGTGATGATGATGATGACCACGGTGGTGATGATGATGGTGTCGCGATGATGATGACGCTGATGACGCTGAGGTTGATGATGATGATGGTGTCCCGATGATGATCATGATGATCATGATGGTGTTGATGATGATGGTGCCCCGATGATGATGATGGTGATGGTGATGTTGATGATGATGGTGTCGCGGTGATGATATTATGATGTCGATGATGATGATGGTGCCCTGGTGATGATGATGAGCTTGATGTCGACGTTGGTGATGATGGCGATGATGATGATGTCCCGATGATGACGATGATGGTGATGATGCTGTTGATGATGAGGTTGAGGTAACGATGATGGTTCGATGGTGGCCCGATGATGATGATTCTGATGTTGATGATGAGGATGGTGCCCCGGTGAAGGTGATGATGGTGATGATGATGGGGGCGATAATGCTGGTATCCAGATGATGAGTTTTCCAGCGCGGGACCGATGGCGATGACTCATTACAACTGATGAAGTCCAATCGCTTGCATCTGCAATAGTGCCAGTCGGCACGGTCTAGCGACAGTACAATGTCTCGGGCGCCTGTGGGACAATTCCCACCGAGACAAACCCAGCTTCGTGGGGCGCCAAGGAGGCGCAGCAAGCAGCAGCAGCGAGGGAGGACGAGGAGGGGGAGACCGATCGATCGATCAAAGCCGTAGTCAGCACTACGCTGGCCACCCGAGGTCAAGCGGGGCGGCGGTGAGAAAGGAACACTCTGCAGCCGCGGGGCACGGCGCCTGGAAGTTGCCCAGACTTCGCGCACGGGCGCATCAAAAAAGCCGAGGCGAGCCGACAAGGGATGGCCCAGCCTAGTCGCATCGGCTGAGGTGCACTAGAGGGTGCACGCCCGCTTTCCCAAGTCGGCGGATAGGGCCGGAGCTCCAAGCCAACAGACCCGCGAAGGGAAGCAAAAGAGGGAAGACAGCAGCGGCGGTCCTGCGCACACGATCGGCTGGAGGGGCGGCGCGGGGCCGCAGAGAGACTCTCTCAAGCAGAATCGCAAGCAGAGAGAGGCAGGGCGGACCTCGAAACCAGCTCGGACACCACCACGGCGGCAGCAGCAACAGAACGGGAGAGGGGGGGGGCGGGGGGGGGGGGCACGCGCGAGCGGAGACAACGCGCACAATGCACAAGGACAGTGCGCAATACTACCAACTGCTGAAACCAAGAAAGCAGGGCGATTACCCCCGCATGATCACTAACTGCTGTCAACTGCCGTTCACAGGACATCAGGAAAAGCAAGGCTAGGACAATGAGCAGGATAGAGACAATCACTCTCGCAAAGAACCAGCGGCAGCGGCGAGAGAGCGGCCGGGACAGAAAGAGAGGCAGCATGCCAGACACATACAACATGCGCAAGAGCCAGATCCCCGATCGCTGCTCTGTGCGTTCGGCACCATGACAACTGAACAGAGCACTGACTGGAAACGATACTGTGACCCGATCAGGTCAGAGAAGGGGAAGCAGAGCAGGGCAGCTTCACCCAGGGCCAAACCCACTCGGGTTACGAACGTGTTGAATGGCCGCGCGGATCGGGGGGCGACGCAGCACCAACATCCGAAGGCGACCTTCGAAAACCTCATCTGTCGACGCTGAGGCCGAAACTAGACGCAAACGGAATGGGAAAATGCATGCACAAAGCATTCCGCTAGCGAACACATGGCAACATCACGCTATGTGTCGGGGGCTCGACCGTCCACGCAGCAGAGCACAGGAAGCGGGGCAGCAAAGCCAAGGGGGAAGAGAGGGCGAGCCCAGGACAAGAGGAAGCCAGAGACTTTAAAGCAGCGCTGGTAGTGCAAGAGGTCATCTCGGCCGTCGAGGCAACCGAAGAGACGCCCCTTGGGGCGAGCGTGAAACCTAGCCGACGCCCAAGCCCCGCGACAGAGGATCCTCAAAACAGCGACCACTAAAGACATTGAAACCGCATTACAGAACACGTTTCATGCGAATTTGGAAAGCAGGAAACCAGACTGCAGGCGGGAGGGGGAGAGGGGGCCACTTCAGAACCCGACGAGAGACTTCACCAAGGGCAACACCAGGACGCCCATCATCACGAGGGGCCTTGCACATCTGGGCTTGCGTAACCGCCTCGGGGGCTTCAGGGCAGAGCACGCGGGCACGGGGAGCAGCGCGGACGCACGCCTCGTTCATATAACTCAGAAGCGAATTGGTAAACCACCCGCGAAGTAGCCGATGTGGAATCATACCCCAAGAGACACCATGCGCCTGGCGCGATTTATTCTGGAATTCGGTCCAAGCCGACGAGCTCTAACAGTTCGATACACCGACGCGACAGCGATATGCCTGATGTAGGCACACTGAGCATTGCATCCTGT